GCATTTCTTATACTGCCAAACAATGCATGCTGTAGGCCGTGATAAAACTAATAATTAATTGCATTTATTTATACTTATTGCGATAATTTTCAGAAATTGTGCCTCACGGAGCAGATCTATGCATGATGACGGGTTATCTATGTTAAGGCAGATTGGAACACGTCAAATCGACATAAATTCAATATGGGATTCATGTAATAACCTTATATCAACCATAATCGACGTTGTTTGAATGTCATGCTGCCACTCGTTCCTGTTATTTCTTCCAAGATGACGCTATTAGTGCCACTAAAATAATTTTACATTTCAGTTTGAATAATAACGAAAATATATCAATATGGCAATTGTTGCGATACGATAAGCCTCAAGAAATTTGGGCGTATATCGAGAATATGTTTCGGCTTGATTTGATGTTTGATCTATCGGTTATATTTATCAGACACCTTGAGAAGACACAATGAAATTAAACATACCATATTTTGTGGTTGAGATCCGCTTTGCGTTTTGCAAGAGATTATGCATCCCCCATGCATTACCATCATTGACACATTACCATCACCATATACCATCATTGACACATTTTGACTGTTTCTACTGGGCGATCAAATACTCGCATTAATTCAGATTGAATTCGATAAATGTATGCTAAGTTCTTTCGAGAATTAAATTTTTGCTCCTCAGGAAAAGTAAAACAATGATATGACCTTTAATGTCTAATAATCAATAACTTCTTGGATTTGTGCTTCTCTTTCACCTCACTGACGAAAATTGTTCCCCCGCATCATAAACGATATTGTATTGAAGCAAGGCTAGTCCGACCTATTATAAAAGTCAGACGAGATGAACCATACAAATTTCTTAACAATACTGGAGGTAGTAATTCCAAAACTGCAATACTGGAGCCAATAGATCTTAAGTAGGGTCATGCTTACAGTAACATTTCCTAAAGTTGGCTGGGTGCCGTAGATGAACCGACGAAAGCTCAATACTACGAGCATGAAGGCATTGTATTCGAGAATAGAGCAAATTCCTACACGCCTAGTTCTTAATTAGTAGACAAAAAATTTAATGGTGCACTGGCTTAGCGTGTAGCTGAGATAGCGCCAAAACACTAACTCTGCGTCAAACACAAATCTTGCTAAAGACATATATTTCCGCACCTAAGGTCCGGACATTCTTCACCACATTCGGATAGAGCTTTTTTACGACTAAATCACTGCAAGAGGATCAAGCAAGCTTGACGCACAACTAAAGTACTAGTAAATGGGTGAATACTAATATACGCAGAAATTTCTGAAAGATGGTTTGGATAACCATTATTGAGTGCTAAATTTTACCCCTAGGATCGGATGCTGGGCCATTCGGCGCTGTAATTACGCCGCCATTCATCTGGAGTGCAAGAAATAGGCGTATAAGTTTTACCAATTTACTAGAAGTCTTCTTTCTCTTTGCCTTGTCGGCTGCAAAATTTCAACATAAAATCAAACATGTAATTTTCCGAGAGAAGATTTTTTCGTTCACAGATCAAATGATCAAAATCATATGTGTGCATTAAAATAAATACTCGTTTAATTTCATTTTAATGGAACGTATGAAAGTTTTGTGTAATATTTCATTTGTATTTGAGATACTTCATACCTTCTATTTCGAAATAATGAATAACGTTATCATTTGGGACAATTATCTATGAAATAATTTTGACACAATTTTTAGGGTAACTAAATAAACTGAAACCACCATTGAGTACCCCACACGTAAATCATGTACAAACCAAACCCTATTGATAAATAATTAAAACATTTTACGAGCACTGTTAACTTCAGAAGTTCGAATACAATTGACAATCCATACTGAGCTGCGACTGTGCGAGGTTGAGTATTCTGCGCTGAGTCGCCCGCTCTACAAACTAATGAAACGAGCAGAACAGCCTAGCGGGGACGCGACAGTAAAACATACATTGGAACTTTCACGAATAATTTTTCATTTAAAACTAATTTCCTTATGACCGAATTGTTATTTAAGACGGCACAACGTTGTGTTGCACGACTGTCCAGTACATGTGGTCCTGCATCGGCGGCATGAAAGTGACATTCGATATTATTTAGTATATGCTCGTAATTTTTTTTCTCTGAATCAGAAATTCTTATCTCAGAAAACAGAGATAGCGGGAACTTATAATTTTTCATCTCCCCGGTCACATTGTTTTCTAATGCAAGCGAGAGCTGCAAGACACGAACACTGTGATGAGGAGACACTTGAACACTGTGATGAGACACTTGAACACTGTGATGAGACACTTGAACACTGTGATGATGTGACAATTGAACACCGTGATGGTGAGGGATACTTGAATACTGTGATGATGGAGGAACACTTGAATACTGAGGTGGGACACTTGAACACTGTTATGAGGAGACACTTGAACACTGTGATGAGACACTTGAACTCTGTGATGAGACACTTGAACACTGTGATGAGACATTTGAACACTGTGATGAGACACTTGAACACTGTGATGAGACACTTGAACACTGTGATGAGACACTTGAACACTGTAATGAGACACTTGAACACTGTGGTGAGACACTTGGTAATCTTGGTACTTGTTTGGGACATAGCAGTCCCAAGCCACGATAAATCGCCGCCTCTGATTATCGTTCATCCGCCCTCATTTGGGCCACCTGATGCACGATGCTGTTGCTTGCTTCTCGCCGCTGGTAGTGTTGCAGGGGAGGTCGATCTGGGATTGTGCTCAGGAAAACGTCCAGTTGTCTCTTGAAGGTCTCCAGGGTGAATTCCCCCTCTCTTAGATCCTTTGGTAGGACGTTGAACAGCCTTGGCCCTGCCACGGAAAGTGATCCTTCCCGCAGGGATTGAAATCTGACTGCAGGTCTGTTACGTAATGGGGGATCTTGCACAGTCTCCCCCATCTCTCGTTGTGATATGTCTGAATCCTGAAGGTCTTGCTCTCGAAGTTTGGCACTATTCCGGTTATCATTTTCCATGTGTACAGAAAGAATGACATACCTCTCCCGTCTCCTCTGCAGCGAGTACAGATCCAGGCGCCTCAACCTCTCCCAGTAATTCAACTCTTCCATCCCTTGAACACTGTGATGAGACACTTGAACACTGCGATGAGGAGACACTTGAACACTGTGATGAGGAGACACTTGAACACTGTGATGATCGGGGGACTCTGCTGACGCAATGCAAGCAAATCAATTTCCACTTCCTGCTAAATTAAATCAAGTCCTATTTGATTGGTACAATTAAAATCTGAAAAATAATCATCATTTTCCCGGTTGTTAATCTCAATCCGGCGTGCGGCAAAAAAAACCTTCATCCACCTCAATTCCATCCCGGTTAATCAGCTTCAACTTACGCAACTTCATCTCATTAAGTTTCTTTTGTAGCAGAAGTTTTCTTCAGATGAATAACTTTATTGACGAATACTGAATAGATTCTACCTTCAGATGTCCCAGATGACGATATCATCAATGCTGCTTCTCTTGTATATCTCGGGAGCAGAAGTTGAGGTATAGTTCATCCTAACATATAATGGGCACGTCATGCTGACTCGCAGTCACGTCATGCTGACTCGCAGTCACATCATGCTGACTCGCAGTCCCGTCATGCTGACTCGCAGTCTCGTGATGCTGACTTGCAGTCACGTCATGCTGACTCGCAGTCACATCATGCTGACTCGCAGTCCCGTCATGCTGACTCGCAGCCGCATCATGCTGACTCGCAGCCACATCATGCTGACTCGCAGTCACGTCATGCTGACTCGCAGTCACGTCATGCTGACTCGCAGTAACGTCATGCTGACTCGCAGCCACGTCATGCTGACTCACATTTACAAGCCGTACCCGAGCCTCTCGTGTATAAAGTTTATTGCGAAGCTAGAGCGGGGAAAAAACGCTTCCTCCGCACGAACCCTCGCCTCCACACAAGCGGTAATTTCGCGTGTACGAATCCTCAAATATCAGGGATACCCGATCTCGGTGACGCGGTGCTGAGCTTTTGCGAACTTATTCAATTTTATATCGCGAAGTGGATAATGAATTAATTTTGCCAGACCCCGCATTAGTGCCGGGTCTTATTTGGGAGCCTAACACTAATAATTCTGGTAATAATATGCATACAATGTTTAAGCCACGTTCAACACTCTAATAACTAATTCATAAGAATAATCTAAAATCTTCGAGCCTTAGGAATTATATAACGAGTGATTTAAAATCGAGAGGAAAGGACGTAAAAATTGTCACTGCTTTCAGAAGAGGAAATGAAGACGAACTTGGCGATGTGTGCCCCATCATCATCATTGGGTAGAGGGATATAGTGCGATCGATTTTAGGGTGTGATCAATTCTGAATTTAATTCAGCTGGACTGTGAATTTCAGCGTGAGCTCTAAGCACCTAATTTGGACAGCCGTTATGCACCGTCACCTCGATGTTTTGGGTCGCCTGCCGAAGACCACCACTGCCCTGGATGTAATGGACCATCATAATTCCTGCCTTCCGGAACGTAGCCTTCAACACTTCAAGCCGTCCGTATCTAGGCCGTGGGTCGAACCAGCCCTCGGTCGAACGGTCACTTGTCGAAGCACGATAAATTTTGGAACAGAACTATGCTATCTGAAACCTAACCTCAGATGCGGTGAGCGTAAAATTACGTAATTTAACGATGCCTGGAAGTCAGATTCGATCCGCGGCCTGGTGGTGCACGGCAGGTTCTATGCGAGGCCGGAGGACAAAGCCGAGCGGTTCACGGCTGATTGGTGGATGTCCGGAGATATCCAAGGCGTTCCATTCAGAGCTTATTGGTGCACTAAATTGGTGGTGCACGGCTGCGCTCCCGATGTTTTAGAATCGAGACCTATCATTTTACAACTTATAACCGAGTTCGAAATCGACCAACTAATAACCGGCCGTTCCTCAATTAATGCAATCATTAGGATAAATCATGTCATAGGCGGAAAATAAATCAGAACATAATATACAATGGCCTCAACAATTTTATTTGTAAATAATGCGACCGCAACATTCGTATTATCGGCTATGGTGATCTGTCTTCGCTACTTTTCCATGCGCGATTATGATCGATGGTGTATTATAGATTTCCAAGAATACAACTAAAAATCAAGTTCAGTGAATACAAGACTGACGACGTGTTATTTGAGACATAATTTATTACTAAGTTAAGAAGAAAATAATTCCACTTGAATAAAAACTATTAGGACACATTGTACTCCTATCCTTTTACGTATTTTCTCAAACTTGATACACAAATCAGAAGCAATGTTGAATCCTTAAATAATCTTGGAACTAATCAGTACCGTCCCATAAGTTTATTCTAGGTTTCGAACTTCGAGTACGGAGTCGGACATGCATGTCCGTAGAAGTTGTAGCTCTGGGGCCGGATTATCAAAACATGCTAAGTATACGTAGCCGCTAACGTTTAGCGTAAGTACAGCTAAGTAGACGTGACTCTACTGAGTGTTATTATCGAAACATTTGCGCGGGAAGCTACGTACAAAAATTTGTGCATAACTGTACGCCTGCTCGGAGGTGTCGTAAGCGGAGTTACGTACAAATTTTGAGTGTTAAAGCAATATGAGACTATTAATTTACTAGCAGCAAGTTGAATTGTAATAGAATTTTGTTAATAATGAGACTTAGGTATAATATGGGATCGTGCTAGTGCTACTTTTAGGAAGAAATATTCGATTGAATTTATACCAGAAGCTAATTATTTTGTTTTCCTCTTGTGTTACAATTTACAAGCAAATGTTGATATTCATGTTCAAGAGTTTTATGCCTTTTGATTCAAAATATCTTCATGCCTTTTTGATTCAAAATTATGTGGAGGTTGACAAGCCAACCATTTTTTTTAGCTCCGTACACATATTTCTTTTTTTCTCTGACAGTCACAACTCCAACTCTTTAAATTTTCTAAATTCTAGGTCTCTCTAAAAAGTCTTCTAGTTTTGAATGGGAATAGTGCAATTTTTTTGCCCTGATTGCAAGAAATTTTGATGAATGATCACAACAAGTGCATTGCTATTTGGATAACGTCACACTTATTTCTCCATATGCACCCTAGTCAGTCTACGCTGATGCTGCTGACACGACACAACCTCCTTCCATCAACGCGCTCTGCGCACTGAGTCGACAGGAGCTAGGAACAGCAAATCCAAAGCCTCTGATTGGTCAGTTAGTTGGATGGTTTCGATAATACCTTTTCAGATGAGTCATGCGTAAGACAGTTTTGTTAATGCCAAATTTTGACTGACTTACGCCATACGTAACTTTTTGAACGTAAGTACGAAAAGTTACGTGAACTTAGCGAAGTTTCGTTAATCTCTGCCCTGGCACGCGTTCCGGTGCGTGGTTAGGAGCGCTTGGTCAGCCGCGGCGCCAACGGCATCGCAATGATTAACGGCCACCACGATGGATTGTTCGTACAATGAGCGAAGATAGTTGTTAATGTTCATGCCGGTAACATCCAGAGCAATCTCAAGGCTGGGAAGGTTGAAGTTGTACTTGGAATTATAAATCCATTTCCCCCTGCGTGAAAAAAAAAACATTAACATTTGTACATGGACACAACATGACTAGATCAGAATTGTGGATTACTGATTTGTTCTCTTGGAATCTTGTTAATAAATTTGTTCACAAAACTTGAGTTGCGTTCGGGCAGCGAAAAAGTATCGCCTCCACAAATTACGTGCTATTAAGTAAATAGTTGAGATTTAAATGGTTGAGATTTTCTCGTTTATGATTAATCTTCAAGTATTTCTGCGTCGATTCACGATGCACAAGATAATAGTATTTAGATTTAATTTCAAGGTGAGGATAAGACTCGCCAGAAAGTACATTTGCGTTATCGCTGGCTCAATGTAAATCATGTCGTTTCAAGGCAATTGCTAAAATGAATGTTCGGACTTTAATAAAAAGCAAGTGGTCTTACGAGGAAAACTGTAGGGGACTGAAGCTGCTGTTCAAGTCAACAACCGCAAGCGAGCCGATCGTCTCTCTCGTCCACAGAAGCCATGACGAGGATTCCTCGTTCGGTCCATCATTGCGGTCCAATAAATTGAAACTTTTCGGAAGATAATATGAGGCAAAACGCACAGCCAACTTCTCCATGGATATATAAAAGCTCACGTTCCCGTATTTATTGTGTTCATTTGGTTCTGGGTTGATATTTAGGGTAAACCAAACCACCTGCATTGTGAAAAAGAAAAAAAAAACAATGAGATAAATCTGTAGATTGGTCTTAAACTGAAAAGGAAATTACCTGTGTGGTAATTTAAAATGCTAAAAAGATGATAGATTGACGAGTGTTTTAACTAGCTTAGTATGTCAATATAATGACATCATAGTTGAAATCAGTAGTATGCTTATTGTGACACGTAAATTGGGTTTGAAGAATCACTGACTGATAACCACTTTTATCCGTAAAGTATTTCGATTGGTTGCATTCGGGACATTATCAGGAGTAATAAATTTAAAATGATTAAAATATTTATACCAACTATTTCTTCAACAGTTGGATTTTAAAAATTATTGAAAGCCAGAATATTCACCTTGCGATTAATGCTGGGAGTGATTTGAGCGTCTTTGGAGAGAAGCTCACCTGCTTTTTTGTACTCCAAATACTCGTCCCAGTGAATTGTATGAGATAATTGGCCAAAAATATATGACGCACCTTGTTGGATAGAGATAGATGTGGTATCATTAGTCTCGTTAATTATCTAACAACTCAGGTGAGACACCTGCGCGATCCACCTTGGTGGAACATTCTCTTAAGTAACGAATTGTTTCAATGTCGGTAATTCTGGACGTCCGACAACAAGTCTGCTATCAGGGAGGGGGTCGAAAAAGACTCATCCACCCAGTTGGTGGAGGCCTAAATATGTCAGGGAGCGGAGCTATTGTGGTGTTACCAGTGAAAAAATGACCAGTGTTTAATACTAGTACCTGCATCGTACAAATGCATGAGCAGAGCGTGTATTTAGCTTCATGTGAATTGGTTTTACATTTGAAAATGCTACAGACGCAAAAGTTTACTTCTTCACATTAACTTGGCTACCCCAAGACACGAACTCACTCGGACGCTCGGATTCCTCATGACACAAACTTAAACTGACACAGACCAGACAACGCTCAAAGGCAGGCAAATGCCATTTATGATCAATATGATACTTCCAAGAAGTCATCAGCCTTAATAGAAATAATGCAGATAACTTGAGCCAGTTGCTTAAACCATGACCCTTAAAATAGTCACCAAGATCAAGCCCTGTTAAAAATCATTGTTGTCGACTGTTTAAAAATTACGAATAAATTTGCTCATGCGATTTTATTTGCAACAATGAAATACACAAAACTTTGTTCGCGTTATTGGCCTAGTTGGTATGGAGACCATGGCAGAGGAAATTTTTGAAGAACCTAAAAAACATCACTTCAATGTAATGTCATTATGTCAGTCAGATGAATCATGAAAGATATGAACCAGGTCCCTACTGAGTGTATGAAACTGACCTTTGCAGGTTGACTGTTGCGTGAACATGTCTGCATTGGGTGCCAGGCTGCCAGCGTTTTACAGTGCGGCTCTATATAGATCGCGCATTGCAATGTTAAACATTGCAGTTATAACATCGAATGTTACAAGTTACAACTGTCAGGATTTTGGCATAAGCTGTGCACTGTACTTTCAAGACTAAGTGTGTGATTAGCGCAGTTGCCCACAGATCCCAGGATTGCCCAAACAAAAACACAGGAAGCCCCAAATGTACCAACTGTCAGGGGAGCGACACAGCAAGCTATGGATGATGTCCTAAAATGAAAGAAGCCAAATCAGTAAAAAAAAGTGAGGGCAGAATAAAAACTGTCATACCGGGACAGAAGGGTGCAATGTTTGGTGAGGGCGTCGCCAATTTTTGCATTTTTAGACCAATAACGTTGCCGGCAGTACCCAAGGGCCAAGATGCGTCGCCAGTGGTCTTCGAGATGCGTCACCGCGTCGACAGCAGTCTTCAAGATACGCCCAACTGAAAATTTAAGGCAATGAACAGGCGTACCATAATTAACAATTCTCACGAAATTACACAGAAAAGCAGTGGCACGGAGTTTGTAAGAGATCTTGAACATTGTTATGAATTTGCTATGTTGTCACGATTCATTATTTAAACGAATAACAACTCAATTTATTCCAAAAAAGATTACTCCTTTCATTGCCTTATTCATAAAGCATAGAAAAGAAAACACATATAGTTAAATGGGGTAAGACAGGATCGCAGCCTTCATGGGGTAAGGAAGGACCAGCCCCTGGCATGCACTCTAATTGCACTCAATTCAATTTGATAAAAGAATATGTTAGAGCAATCATTGCCTGTCATTTCAGTGTTTGTTTCAACCCTCTTCTGCATATAATGAATTTCTGGCTAATTTTCAAAGAAAACCTATGTAAAGAAGGGTCACAAAATAGTTAACCCTGTTTGGGAAATAAGCTCTGTCTAATGACAGAAAATTTTTTGGCCATGTTTGTAGATGTAGGCAGGTAACCTCAAGTAATAAGCAACTTTTGAGACATACTAGGCATTCCTACCTGCTACCATCACTGCCTGACATCTATTCTAAAATGGGGTAAAAAAGGACCGGACATGGGGTAAGACGGGACCACTAAATGATCCTGTTTTACCCCACAAGCAGTCCTATCTTACCCCACAAATGGTCCTGTCTTCCCCCACAAATGGTCCTCTAATACCCTAGGTACAGTTTATCAAAAATAGTTTTTAAATGAATATATTATTGTGCAGTATAAGGAGTATTTTGGTCGAAAATTTTATCTATGGCTCAAACTTCATTATAACTTGTTAGCTTTTTTAATTAGAGAAATTTTGTGCACTATTTTAAATTGCATCAAATGGATATAGAAAATAGGGTTGTCTCTTCCCATTAGTGAGCTGCAGAACTATGTGCATGATTGGGGGAAAAATCATTGTGAGAAACATGAAAAATAATTATTATCACAACTCTGTGAGAGGGCATGGGCTACGTTTGAAGAAGTGCACCACAAATGCACAAATGCAGTTAGCAAGAAAACACTTGATGTCTGACACTTAACTAATTATCCATTGGTTTTATTACCAATTTGATAAATTTTTCAGACAATGACACTAATGGAATATATATGAAGCATTTAGCAGTGCTCTACAATGAACCAAAGCCAACCCACTATTACTATGCTTAACATAGTTTACTCATGACAAAAACTCTAATGTGGTTGATATTAGAGTTGACTTCCCACAACACAAAACAGTAACAAGTAGTTGTTTAATCAAATAATGTGTTTCTAAATGGATAATATTGAATATCAGGTTTGTACTTTTAATAAAAACCTTGTAACATAAGAATTACCAGTTGGTCCTGTCTTACCCCAGCCTGGTCCCATCTTACCCCAGTGGGGTAAGATGGGACCAGCTCACTTTTTTCAATCTGTACAGAAAACTATGTTAGATGCAAAGCGTCTGAGTTGTAGCTTAGAAGCCCATTGCATAGATACACCTTGTGATAGTTTTAGGGTTTTTCAGTTATTCGTGGTATAGATGCTACAGGCTTGTTAGTGATTTTGGTCCTGTCTTACCCCATCTGACTAGTCAAATGGGGTAAGACAGGATCGCAGCCTTCATGGGGTAAGAAAGGACCGGCCCATGGCATGCATTCTAATTGCACTGAATTTAATTTGACAAAAGAATATGTTAGAGCAATCATTGCCTGTCATTTCAGTGCTTGTTTCAACCCTCTTCTGCAAATAATGAATTTCTGGCTAATTTTAAAAGAAAACCTATGTAACGAAGGGTCACAAAATAGTTAAACCTGTTTGGGAAATAAGCTCTGTCTAATGACAAAAAATTTTTTGGCCAGGTTTGTGGATGTAGGCAGGTAACCTCAAGTAATAAGCAACTTTTGAGACATACTAGGTATTCCTACCTGCTACCATCACTGCCTGACAACTATTCTAAAATGGGGTAAAAAAGGACCGGACATGGGGTAAGACAGGACCACTAAATGATCCTGTTTTACCCCACAAGTGGTCTTATATTACCCCATAAATGGTCCTGTCTTACCCCACAAATGGTTCTCTTTTACCCCATAGTTTATCAAAAATAGCTTTTAAATGAATATATTATTGTGCATAAGTATACATAGAGTATTTTGGTCAAAATTTTCATCTGTTGCTTAAAATAACCATTCTAACTTGTTAGCTTTTTTAATTAGATAAATTTAGCATACTATTGTGAATTGCATCATGGGGATAGAGAAAATAGGAATGTCTCTTCCCATTAGTGAGCTGCAGAACAATGTGCAAGAGTGGTTGGGGAAAAATCATTGTGTGAAACATAAAAAATAATCATTATCACAATTTTGTGAGAGGGCATGGGCTATGTTTGAAGAAGTGCACCACAAATGCAGTTAGCAAGAAAACCCATGACGTCCGACTCTTAAGTTATTATCCATTGATTTTATAACCAATTTGATAAATTTTTAGACAATGACACTAATGGAATATACATGTAGCATTTGGCAGTGCTCTACAATGAATCAAAGCCAACCTACTATTTCTATGCTTAACAAAGTTTTCTCATGGCAAAAACTCCAATGTGACTGATATTAGAGTTGACTTCCTGCAACACAAAACAGTAACAAGTGGTTGTTTAATCAAATAATGTGTTTCTAGATGGATAATATTGAATATCATATTTATATTTTTACTAAAAACCTTGTAACATAAGAATTACCTGTTGGTCCTTTCTTACCCCAGCCTGGCCCCATCTTACCCCAATGGGGTAAGATAGGACCAGCTCACTTTTTTTAATCTGTACAGAAAACTGTGTTGTATGCAAAAAGTCTGAGTTGTAGCTTTGAAGCCATTGCATAACCACACCTTGTGATAAGTTTAGGATTTTTTAGTGATTCATGGTATAGATGCTACACTCCTGTTAGTGATTTCGGTCCTGTCTTACCCCATCTGACTATTACCCTGTCGTTGAATTTTTTTTTGCTGATATTTCTTCTCACTATTGATAAGACTTGAGGATCGCACAAAAAAATGATTTCTAATATATATAAAGGAATTTAAGATATCATACATATACTAGCTCTAAAATATCCCTGTAAAAAATGTTATTTTGGAAAAGTACTTCCACTAAGGTCTGTATTAAAAAATATTCGCCATAATAAAAAATTTGCTTGGAAAAAAATTACTGACAGGTACCTATCAGCTTTAAAACTTCTTTGACATAATTTTTGTCCCTCAATCCATAACAAAATTGCAGCCATTTCCGCATGCTGGGGTAATAAGGGACACCCCTAAAATAGCATTTACAGTAGAACCTTGGATAGCAAAAGCTCCAGTTAATGAAAAATATTGATTAACAACAAAGAATTTTGATTGAATTTACCTTGCTCAGCAAAAAAAATCACTTCACAAAAAATGAATGCATCACCAGTCATTACAAAATTGTGCATAGAATGTCATGGACAGAATTGCACACTGGGCAACATAGAATGAAAAGTAATTAACCTAAACTATGATTTATTTCTCTAAAAATATAATGGTTGTCACCTTTCTGTTTCAGGTATGTTTTTACATTTTTTTCATTTTAGTGAATTCCTTGACCCAATCAAAATGATGCAAAATTACAAGCCCAGTCCTGTAAGCTTACAGATACAGAATAAATGCTACCATATACAGCTGCTGATATGAAGCTTGTAGAGGACAAGGTTGTTGTCATTGCTTAATGGCATGTCCTTGGATATTTATATCACCTCAATAATACAATACAGTAGTGTAAGAATATGGTAATATCATATCAATAAAGGAAAAACAAGTACAAATCACAGAGGAAAGCCAAGTCAAAGGAAAGCTTTCCCCTCAAGATGGAAAGCTTTCCTTTGACGCAGCACTCACTCAGCAGTGTGGAATTCTAGAGGGATATTAAATTAACCAGTTCACATAGCATATTGGAAAGCAGGACCTGAAAGCTTGGAAAGGCCAGGAACATTCCACTTTCAATCCATTATATACATACATTGTCTCTTTCCAGCTATGATTGGTTGATGGGATTGTGATGTCATCCTTTCCAGCTGTGACTGGTTGTGCTCAAAAGCCCCACTCCCAAATATGGCATGTGTGCTATATGAATATGGCATGTTAACTATATGGCATGTTGATACTTAAACTAACTTGACTGAATACTTAAACTCAATTGTTATTCATTACAAACAAAGACCCTGCAAAATTTTGTAAAAATCTATTAATTAAAGAAAAATAAAAAATATCAAACAAGAGACAACTAAACAATTCAATAACAAATCTGAGATACTACACAATTGAAGCAGTTTGTGCACTTTTGATCCTCCTTTTCCTTTATAGTCAAGTCACCTGGCAGATTGCAGTATCTTAGGAAAGCTTTTTTATAAGTGAACTTTCATTCCTAGAATTCCACCCTTTTCAATGGTGTAGTACCTCTGATTTGTTATAGAATTGTTTAGTTGTATTTTGTTTGATTGATATTTCTTATTTTTTCTTTTATTTAATGGATTTTTGAAAAATTTCTAGGCCCTCTGTAGCTCTGTTTGTCATGATCAAGTTTAAGTGTAGTATTATGTAAAATTAGTTCAATAATCAAGTTATTCAGTTCCAAATACTGCTGGCAACGTAATGGGCTCAAAATCCATATCTAGGCAACAGCCCAGATGCAGCTGGCAAACTCTGCTGTCTGCACCCTGGCAAGCTGGCTGGTGCTGGTGGCTTCTGCCCAATATCTACTTAGGGGTATAATTGAAGACCAGAGAGTATTTCTTATTGACAATTTTCTTATTGTTTTTCTCTATTCAGCAAATTAGGCTCTTGATAGGAACTGAAAAGTCAAATATCAGGTTTCCAAGGGACATTTTATTATAATTTTTATAATATTTATATAATTTTTATAAACCTGCATTAAAGAAAATCTTCTGCCAAACTACACCAATTAGGGGTATAAGTAAACATACACATTTTTTATAACTTTATAATATTATGGCTCAACTATACACATTTTTTATAACTTTATAATATTATGGCTCAATCAGTCAAATCAAGAACTTTTGTTAACAATAAAACTTCTTGTGGTATGCCAGGTAGCAGGTATGGTACTTGCAATTTGAAGTTAGCTGCTTTCCACTCTGCTATTTTAGCCTAGCAGAAATATTGTGGCCTAGCCTAGCCCAATATTAGCAGAAAAGTTCCAAGTTCCAACAATAAAACTTGCTGCTAACAATAGCAAATAAGCAGCATGATTGGAATTTTTCTACTTCTTACTCATATTGAAATCTCAGGGCTCAAAAGTATCAAATTTTCAATACACTTGGAAATTAGAATTGTAATCTGTCAGTCACTGTGCAAACATGCCCTACTGTTGATAATTAGAAAGGAGGTAATTCACCTAGCTGACCTAGGACTAGGTTTAGGAGAAATTTAAAAGCAAAGAAAATGCTAGTTTAGTTGCAATTTAAAGTTAGTTGTTTTCCACTCTGGTACTTTAGCCTAGCAGAAATATTGTGGCTCCAAATATTTGCAGAAAAGTTCTACCTAGTACCTAGTAGGCTAGTACTGGGCCTACCGCCTACGCCCTACTGGCTTGAAAAATAGACATTTCCTGAGCCAGCAATACTGCAACAGTACTACTGTACTGTGTTACCATCAAATAGGGTAAAAAGGGGATAGTTTTGAGCATTTTTTGCTAATAACTTCTTACCATGAAACATTTTATAGACAAGATTGAGCTCATTTAAAGGCCTTTGCTACTTGCTAGTTGCTAGGGCTATCGTATGGCATCTCTGAAAAAAATTCCTTATGACATTCGTTTCATATGGTGTCAGACATAAAATAAAAGTAGTAACTAGTAGGTATGGCCTAATTACCCTGAGGATTGAGAATGTGGTAATCTGGGACACTTGAAATAAAACTTAATTTTGAAACGTTTTAAACATGCAGAGTGCACACTGCAGTCAGTACAGTGTACTCAATACTCGTGAACTCATCGATTATTCCATTACTAACAGACTAACACTCAAACAGTGTAGGTACTCATAAGTCCTCATCCTTTGCGGCTTTGTAAATGATGTAGGCTAGATGTAAAATAAATCACATTTTCTTTGATTTTTACTCATTTTTCCTAAATATTGATATATTCCTATATCCATACATCTCATTACCGCATTATTGATATGATATTACCATTAATACCGTATATCCGTGGACCATATATCCATCATAATCCATGGAATGATGGACATGCGCCATGCGGACATGCCAGATTGCCAGGCATTGACTCATTGAGCATTGACAACAACCACAATACCACATCATGTGGGTTGTGGGTCAACATCACAACATGTAAGCTAAAAGTAAGAAAATATAAAGAGGTGTGGTCTGTGGTGACAAGTCGTTAATACCTAATAAAAGAAAGATTGGCACAAGCTGAAATGAAATGCTTCAGGGGTCACAGTGTCACACTAAGTCTCTTGGCTAGGGGCGAATTGTAGTAATGCTAGACGACGTAAACAAAGAACATGATAGGATAGTTTCAGCACATAAGATAGGCTATAGTCGTACAAGTATAACTAGCAGTTATAATGCGTCTAGCAATAATAAAATACTTTAAGCAGCGATTAAAAGTTTAGAACAAAAAACAATGCGGCGAACAGACAAAGATAAATTCGACGTCAATCGGTGAACGTGAAGTGCTAATAAGCTGCCTTACTCGCTGGCGCGGGCTGCAGCAGTCATGCTCATGGGTCATGGGCCGTAGCCTCCGTACCGTAGAATGTTGCCACAATGATTTACGCATAGTTGAACTAGTTCAAACATGAATTTACGAGTGAGACTCTCCCAACCATGGTTGAATTAATACAAGGTTGACCCACGGCGACGACGATTTTTTCGCCGTTCTGCGCATGTCTCGTGTGACGTCAACGTGGGCCAAAAATGTAAACAGTGGTGATCGACACGTTGTTTTTGTGCCATATTTGAAATGATATTAAAAAAAATTGACCTCCTCAAAATGGCACAAAAAACTGCATTTGCTGCAACAAGTGTTACTTTAAGCAAAGCCGGTGTTACAAATCCGTTTCGTGGAGTGTAAATTAAATAAATGGGAAACATGATGGGCCGACAGACAAGGGCAGAAACTG